CAATATTTTGGAATGTAACAACTAAAGCTTATTTCGTTGGAGCACCCACTACTACAATAAGAAGTAATCTCAATTCAAAAAAAATCTATGAACATCTAATGACTGGGAGAAGGCCAAATGATCAATCTAGAAAACAACCAAGCATGAACCTTACCTCTAGTTCACGCGAACGTGTAACTATAATAAATCTCTTTTCCTACCCATTTTGCTCACATAAGACATCCAGCGAAGAAACCAAATCCTAGAATGGAAGACATGTAAAGCTAATATGGTGAAAAGGAATGGGAACGATGATCGATCATGAGCAATTTTTGATTCCATGTGTGTGATGGATTTTTCAATAATCTATAGCGAATAGAAGAAATGGAAAGGTCATACCCTGAAGAAAGCAATGATCTATAAAAAAACAAACTTAGCATGATCTGAAACATAGAGCTTGCTTTAGTATACAAGGCAACAACACATCATCAATGTAAGATTGGAATAGAATGAGAGAAAGGAGTACCCGTCTAAGAGGTATACAGAACAGCTCTATTTCTTTGAATCCATTATGACAACTAGTCTTCTCACCTGTTATCGGGTGTTTTCAAGAATATGATTCTTGGCAGATTTGGAGGAGAATTTGGGAGTGGAAGTACGAGGAAACCCGCAGAGAGGAAGCGTACGTCAGAAGAGAGAGTCTTGAAGTCAATTGTAGGGCATTTCAAGGGCGGTGTTCTTGATGTTAGGCATTTGCTACATTCTGGTTCTTCAAGAACTAATGACACATATTTCAAGATGAAGAAACACAGTAAGAGCGAGAACAGGGGAGGAGGATGCATGAAGTCTAAGGGAAAGAAGAAAGGAGGCAAGAAGAAGAAAGGATGGGGTAAGAAGAAAGGCAAGTAATCGTGGTAACTTTGTAACATGTTTTGAATGGTGCACATGCTATAACCTACCTTGCCGATGTGAAGCCTTACAAGAGAAGCTGCGTGTCCAGGTGAAAGTCCTCCGTACATGGATGCAGTACACTGTATAATCAGGAGACACCTTTGAGATGGTTATAGAAATCAGCCAAAATCATCTCAAAGATTGCACCATTCATTGTTTCTTCCGTTAAGAGTATGATAGTGGACTTTGACAGAAAAAAAAAAAAAAAAAAAAGAGGTTGTGGGTGCATTTGATCTATTGGATCATCTCTTAGATCCTAATGATTGCTATTTTATTTCACCCAATTCTTCAAGGTAACAAGAGTCCTAAAATGCTTTGCGCGTAAAGGCGAGAAATATTTTTAGGCCAAGTGTAAAAAAAGCAAGTAAATTACATGCTTTTAATCTTTTTACTCAAATTTATCACAATTTCATGTCAATAACGTTTCTGAATCTTACTTTCTTGGCCGGTAAGGGGATTGAAACAAAAGACGAAATTAAACACAAAAACCTGCCGTTTTTAATTTGGGCTCCTCATCCACATTTGAGTACCTTTAAAAAAATATTGGGTTCTTATATCAATAATGATTATAAATGATTGAAAAATTGAAAGTTGAAAGTCGTGGATTATTCTCGATCCGTATAGGATTTTGTTTTCCATGAAATGATGTGATTTTACGTGAAGTAGTGCTTTCTGTTGGTTAGGAGTGTTTTTGTTTATCTATGTTTTTTCGAACAATTAATCTAAAACTTTTAGTACATTAATAAATTCGTTGGTATCTATGTTCTAGACTCAATCATCACGACTTCTTATCTCTATTACAATTGGTCGATATTGACTGATAGGATTGCTGAAAACTGTTTTTTCTTCTTTACCTCTTCAAAAGAAGAAGATGAATCTTCATCTTTGGTAGCAAATTTGGACATGACAATGGCTTCGATGTTATGACAAATAAGAATAAAATAATAGTGCTTGTTGATGTTAGATCAGAGAGGCTAAGTTTTATCAATCTACCTTTATTGGACATATATTGGGGTACTAGTTCAACTTTGATAAACTACCATGGAAAATTATCCAATGTTAATATTTTTCATTGGCATGATACATATCTTGTCTTTGATTTATGTATATTACGAGATGCCAAGGAACATCAATGGTCGAGGAATACATGTCCGTTGCTGGAATTCTACAGAAAACGTTCCAATATCTTTTCATGGCACCAACAAGATGGGGGAAATTATTATTGCCCCAAAGTTTTTGCCACGTGGCCTTTGAGCTTTTTACATTCTCTACTATGATGTAGAAAAAGAGGAAATAAGAAAGGTTCAGCTTGAAGGACTTGGAGATGATGAAGATTTTAGGCATTGTTATGGAATCGGAAATAATGATAATTGTCAAAAGTCTATATCTCACAAGAAGAATGTCAAAATTATACTTAGAATTTTCTTTTTTCAGCTCGATCTTGGTATAAGAAGAGCATGATGAGAAACTTTTGGAGATTATGTCTTTCTCAATAAATGTTAATAGTACTTCTTAATTATCTGTAATATGTTACAAATCAAGCTAAGCACATTGAAACGCTGAAACTAGATGCCGTTTCACTCATCAAAGCCAGAGTAAAAGTGACCTAGCCTAACCAATCACGAGTCAACCCAAAGCTAGGAGCATCCACATTATCTAAATTATTGAATTGGTACTATATATGTGCATGGGGCAATAATTTGTTTGTTCCAAGACTTCTCTCGGTTTGGTATTTTACCATCTGATATCGTTCGAGCCAACGTCTCGAATTGGTATATTTACGATCAATATAGAGTCAAAATAGTATCAACTTTAGTTTTGTAATTTGTTTGATTTAATACTTGCTTGAACCATACATAAATTTGATTGATGCAAAAACTTTGAAATTCAAATGGTAATTTTGGAATACTTTTGTGGCGGAAGTGTGAATTCATAGTAATTAACTAATTATTATTGATGTTTAATTAGATAAGTGTCTTTAAATTGCTAAATGAAACATGAATATTCCCATTGAAGTTGTTTCGCTATTTGTTATGTCTTCGCTAAGATCCAAGTATCTATTATGCATAAGGGCAAGAGTTTTGGGACAAGAAAAGTTTTTTAATAAAGAAGAAATCTCGCAATAGATTATAGATATTGCAATTTTTCATAGCTAGCTTAGGCTTTGAAGATATTGGAGTTTAAAAATTCCACTATTTTGTTCAAAATGTTGTTGAGAGGGATGACTAAAAAGGTTAAGTGGAATCACCTTGCAAAAAGTGTTGTCATTGCTCTTGATCCATGAGTTTAACCATGCATAATATCAGGTGGGTCATAACTCATACCGCAAAATCAAAACACACATCTTTTAATTTGAGAAGAGCATTCCTTTGGTCGTAGTAGTAATGGCGGATCGTAGGAGAAACAAGAGTGTGTAGAGTAGAAGGAATATCAAACAGAAGAGATAGCAATAACAATGGCTTCAAACCCTGGTTCTAAAAATCGGCCGCCTAGCCGCCTAGGTGGCCGCCTAGGCGCTGATCGGAGGAGCACCGCGGCGATTTTGTCCAAATCGGTGAGAAAAATCGGATCTCCGATTTTTTGTCCGCCTGGACCGCCTAGGCGGCCGCCTAGCCGGCGCCTAGCCCAATTTTTTTTTTTTTTTTTTTGTTTTTACTTTTTGTTTTTCATCTAAAATTCAAAACGTCCTACTTATGTTCGTAATTTGTATAAAAATCATAAATTTGAAATTAAAATCTTGTTTTCATGTGTTTAATACAATTTTAAAAACAATATTATATAAATTTCTTAATTATAATGGATTAATATGTTTCTAAAATATTAAATAGCCCTAAAACTAATCCCCGATTAATCCCCGTGTAATCCCCGATTTTCTTGCTAGGCGCTAGGCGCACCCTCACCGCCCGACTAGCGCCTAGCGATTTTTTGAACACGGCTTCAAACCATTATATCTTTCTTTCTTTTTGTAGTTATCCATCACTAACTTTTTTCTTTATATTTAGTCGTCACTTTGGGTTCATAGAGGTTAATTTTAGTGTCACACGACTTCCTTAGTTCATAATCAGTAAAAGATTCTAACTTTTCCATGAACATACTTTTCAAAAGAGCTTGACTTAACAAAAATCTAAAGGGTTTTGGCGGTTATGAAGCTTGTGTTCTGAGTTCTGATGCTCTGATTGGTGCACATTTTTTCTTTGACTCCGCCATAAGAGAAAATCGCAAAATAAAAGTTTCACTGTTTTAAAAACTGCACCAGACCAGACAGGTAATCGTTGATATAGTTGAATCCGAGTTGAGCTTAAAACCGGATTTGAGTTAAGCCACTAAAACCGGTCGAAATCCACCAAAACATGTGATCTCGTTCAATAACAAAACCAGTTCATAAATTTTTAGTCATATTTTTTTACTATTAGTATTTCAATTTGAGTCAACATTCGAATTTGCAAATTGTATATATATTTTAAAGATCTTTTTCCTTTTCAAAATGTTTTCTAATTGTTATTTGTCAATTTTATGGAAAACCATTTATCTCATTTTGTTTCTATTTAATATGATTTAGAATCTTACTATCTTTATTTTTTTTTTCATTTTGTTTTCCCTTATGATAACTAGTTTGTGATTGACGTATCCTAAACTATTCGATGATTATTTTTTCATGTGGTGTTTTTGGAGAAAAAAAAAGCTCAATTTAATTTTTACTATTCATTTTTATAAATTTGAATGATGTAACATATGGTTTTGTTTGGTTTTTTATTCATTTTATTACGAAGCTAAACGATTAATGAAAAATATATGTTTTGTATTTTTTATTTTATTTTATTGTTATTTACACCTAAAATATAAAAGAGCTATTTTATTTAACTTTATAAGAACTTGGGTCAGTCTATTAACTTTATAAAACACATTATGATGCACAAAAGAAATTCGATACCAAGTACTCCAAAAACAATAAACCATGAAATTTATTAATCCAAAAAAAAGCAACACGAACAAAAATTAAATGAAGCAAAGTCTTAAATAGAAAAACAATAAACCCAACAAGAACCACATGCAAATTTTCTAGCCACAACTTCTGCTTTTGTCACTACCATTTAAAGTTGCTAGGGTTCCCTTGTTGTCGCCGCTTCACCAGTCCCAACTTGTTACACGGTCATGACTTTCACGACCATTGCTAGCTGCAGCATCATTGCTAGCTCCACCATCATTACTAGTTCCACGACCATTGCTAGTTCCAACACTTCTGCCACCATTACCATTTACCAAGTCATTTAGACGGCGTCGGGAAAACTCTTCAACAAACTCAGGATCTAGCCTCGCTTCCGAGGCATGGTCATGCACCCAAAAGTCATTCCTCGGCTCCAATGGAGTTGGCAGAGCTGGATGGTTTGATATGTTTTGGATATTATGAGTCTCATCATCTGGCAACACATGTACATGTCTGCCTCTCCACGCTGAGAAGCTGGTAAGGCCAGGATTGGTCCATTCTCCTAAAAATGGTCGAATAAAATCAATTCCAAACCTAATATTATATCAGACATTTGGACAAAACTAAGGTGTAGAATATTTGTTTACCCAGCTGATAGGTAAGTGATCATTAAGCACATGTTCCAGATTGAAAATTGGATGGTCTGGATGTGCTGCATACTTCCATTCACCTTTTTCAACTTTCCTACAGCTGGGACACATCATCTTGTTCTTACAATTGAAAGCCGAACCAATGAAATCTGTAGGAAACAAAAAATTAATAGATATGTCAAAAAATAGCACATAAAAAAAACCAAAACTATTCGATCAATCTTTTGTTATTGGCACTTATTAGCGAATTATCTATGATATTCAAAAAGAAAATACAATCATAAGACAATGATTCCAACAAATAATAAAGTAGAAAATTGTAAATGGTATAAAGGTACACAGTACGCTGATTACGCTTGGAACGCGCCAAGCAAACGCTTTTCTATTTATTCTTTGGATACAAGTTTCTTTACAACAAGACCAAATTTATCCCGGCTATTACTCAACCTATTCTACCCGAATACAGTTGACCCCGACAAGAATAAATCTCTAAGCTAATTCTCTCTGTAACCCTACCGTTAAGATCAGAGAGAACCCCACTCACCCTTCTAAGCTCTTTTTGCGGCTTCGAAGTTTTCACACGTATAAAGATATTCTAGAGTGCTAACCTATTTCGTGGCTAACTCTAGACTACTTATACAAAGACCCGAGAAACCCTAGCAGGCGAATCTCCGAGTATCACGGTTCTGGGAATCTCTTGCTCGCCAAGTCTTTCCCGTCCTTATCTGTCGTGGAGGATATCTTCCATATCTCAACGCCTAGATCTTCTGTTATGGGAATAGCTTGCTCGTCAAGTTCTTCCCTTCCTTAGTTGTCGAGAAGGATATTCTCCATATCTCCACGCCCAACCTCCTGTGCCAAGTCAGCAGACTTGTCACACCATCCTCTCCTGTTCTGCCACGTCAGCTCCTGCTTCCATGTCAGTAACATGATGCCTGATGTGTTCACATCCACTCCTTTCCTGCCATGTCAGCTCCTGCTTCCATGTCAGTACCTCAGGCTGATGTGATCTGATGCAGCTTCCTGATCCAGACAGCGAGCTGTTCTCTGCACAACGTGCTGATCCAGAATCTGCATCTTCAATCTCCCCCTTTTTGACTTAGTTTGATACTCAAGCAACCTTTTGCACATAACCTGAAAGTCAAAAACAGAGAGATACACCAACACAGCAAGACTACACCAATATCCAGAAAATATCCTAACATAGATGTTAGAGTAAAATGCTGTGTTCAATTATTACAGACCCAAAAAGCCCCATCAGGCATAAAACAAGGTTCTGTAACAAAACCAACTTGTGGTTAACACAAAGTTCGAACAGGAAGCAAAAGAAGCTAAAAGAAAACTATGAAAAGCTAAGTCAGCATCACGACATGCTCCCATGCTCCCCTATAACTCAGACTCCCCCATGATCATCTGAATCAGACATATCTCCCCCTGCTTGTGTTCACAACTAAGTCAAAAATGCACTATCACATCATAAAATATATGTTAATGTTAGCACTAGGAGATGACTTACCTGCATCCAAAGCAGCCTGCAGAATCAGGATGGCCAGCTTCATGACTTTACGATTGCCCAGGGCCTCTGGTGGAATCGAGAATGGAGTTGCTGATCCGGAGTTCTTCTTCACACTCTTGCCTTTCTTGAAGTTCTTCAACTCGCAGTCAGCTTTCACAGGATGTTGTGCCTGTAGTAGCTTATAGATCAGGCTTGGAAACGGAAGATGAAATTTAGCAGCATGGGTACGAGCTAGCTGAAGCACATGCTCAAACACCAGTCTCCCAAAATTGAAAGGAACCTTCTTTGCAATCATGTAGACTACACGTGCTCTACTAGCTGCGAGATAGCTTTCATTGGTTATTGGAGCCCAATTGGTGCAACAAATCTTCAGGAGATCTTTATTGATGGAGCTCTCAACATCGCCTAGATGAACATTTTGATACAACTTGATCTTCCCTCCTGACATGAACATCGCGAGATCTTCATCAATAACACCAACCATCTGTTTCTGTTGCTCTCTCTCATCCACAGGTGGTAGACCAAACAGCGCATTGATTCTAGCTGGTGAGAACTCATACACCCAGTCGCGTACCAGCACATCAACAGTTGCAGACTCAACCTTAACAGAGGGCAAGTTTGACCAAAATTCCCATAAGACCTCAGACGGTGCATCCTGAATCTCAGTCACAGTTCTTAGTAGACCAGCATTAACAATCAGATCTATATTGCATCGACCTCACCAAACGATATAATGAGTTCCTCTATGAAATTTCGTTTGGAGAAATGTTCATACCTCTTCTGTGCATCAGCAGAATTGAATCGCACATGGTCAAAGTCCTGACCTGAGTTAGCTGGCTCATTTCCTTTTGCAGTCTTCTACTTTGTCTTCCTCTCTGAGCATTGTTCAAGAACACCCTTGCATTTCCTTAGTCGAGACGACACAGATGGAGCTCTAATTCCACCAGCTTGCACAGGTTTCGATGCATCAGAGATCTGGGTAACTGAACAACACTGGTCTTCTTCGGTTACGAACACTGAGGTGCCACAGATGAGTCTCCGTCGTCTGTCAGTTCGACTATCACCGGAGGGATGGGTGAAGCCACCTGTTCCACTGAAGCTTTTCCCTCTGTTTGGTGTTCACGAATAACCATTATCGCCTTCTCTGGATCTCCGATTTCAGTCCTTTGAGGGCTTCGCGATTGGACGTCAGATGCCGTCACTGATTCGTTCCTCACCATCTTGGAGTCGCCGAATTGAGTCCGTTGTGGACTCTGCAATTTATCATTCAACCCAGACTCCGATTTATTCATCACCGGTGATGACGACTTCGGCTGCTGACTGCTCTCCGATACTGAGTCTGATTGTGGAGTCGATTGCACAAATTTTTGGATTCCACTCAAGATCGATCTCATCTTTCTTCACTAGCGTGTCTTAGAGTTTTTCTCAATAGGCAACAGAAAGATAGCGAGTATCGAGACTCTTTGACTCCCTCGTCTTTTGGTTTGACAACTCAAACCCTAGGTTTTCCCTCCTAATCCTTTTTATTACGAGATGGGCTTTTTGAAACAAATGAGCCTGGACATAAAAACCTAGATCAGCAAATCCTGAAACACTTAACAAAACGATTAGTGCACATTTGCCAGCAAACTCCTGTTTACAAATCAACATGCTGATCAACACATTATCTCCACAGAACTTTTCATGATTTTGTACATCACATACAATCACTTCAACATGAGCAATTGAGTGACCTAGAAAAATAGCAGACATGTGAGCATATGTAAACTAAGTTCAATTTTAAAGTTCTCATACCTTTGAAGTCTGTTCTGCGTTCTGTGCCAACCACTTGTTCAGGATTCAACCAGAAACTACCACAACCTTATAAATCTTCGAAGAGTCAGCTCGGGATCAGTGGCTAGTCTTTCACACTGTCATGCCTTTAGTCCAGAACAATCAACATGCCCAGGCAGCTAGAATTTTCTTTGGAGAGTGCACGATCAGGAGTGTGTTAACTCATTTTTTTTTTTTTTTTTGACTTAACACATCACCTCGGAGCTTCAGATTCAACCTTCAAGTATGATTGCTCTTCAAGCCTCTGACTTGTTCAGGCTTCTGTTGAATCTTCTGATTTGCATCAGAGACATCACTTGATTTTGTTATGGTGTTTTTTGTTCAGAACTCCTTTTAATGGCTTGTACCAGACATATCACTTGACTTCTCAATATCTGGTACTATCTTGAATGGCATGCACACTTATGCCCCTCCTCAGCTCTTTGACCTCCCAGAACACGACAACGTTTTACGATTGGGAGAACTTGGCATGACAGGCAGCTCTTTTCCACACACCTTTGATTTTCAGACAGCTGATCTTCTATACATCCTTTGGAATTTACATGGCCTGTTCCAGCATATGTCCTTGTCTTAGGACAGCACAACTCACAGAACAAGTTACACCTCACACACACCAACAGTCTTTCTTAGATCGACGAATCAATTAAAGTCCAGAGGCTTGGCGAACAAATCAGCAAGTTGTGAAACATTACTCACATGTCTAACTACAATCCGTTTCTCCTCTATTAACTCACGAATAATGTTAAGGATTATATCAACATGTTCAGTCTGTGATTGATTAACAGGATTTATGGCTATACTAGCTGCAATCTCATAATCACAATAAATCAAAAGAGAGTTAGAGATAATACCCCAGTCAGCTGCCATTTGTTTCACTCTAATGAGTTGAGTATAACAGCTTGCTATTGCACTATAGTTGGCCTTTAGTGATGATAGGGATAGCCGATTTTGCTTCTTGCTATACCATAAGACCAAGTTATTCCCCATGAAGATATAGCCACCACTTGTATTTCTCTGATTACTCAATGAACTGTCTCCATCAGCAACACTATATCCCATCAGAAACTTGTCGGTATCCATCGAGTAGTAAATACCCAAGTTAGCTGTTCCCTTTACATACTTAAGGATTCTTTGCACAGCCATCAGATGAGATCTCTTTGGTGTATCTTGATATGTTGCACATATCCCAATAGCTAAGCATAAATCTAGCCTACTAGTAGTTAGATACTTCAGACAACCGATCATTTCTCTGTAGAGACCTTCATCAACAGTCTCTCCATCTTCATCCTTGGAGATATTAGCAGATACACCCATCGGAGTCTCTGCCACTGGACTAGCTTCCATGCCAAACCTCACAATTAGGCTGTTGGCGTATGCACTCTGTGTGACAAAGATTCCATTATCACTCTGTTTCACCTGCAGACCAAGGAAGTGTCTCAACTCTCCACACATGCTCATCTCAAACTCTTGAATCATGTCTTTCGCAAACTGATCAATAAATGTCTGACACGTGGATCCAAATACTATGCCCTCAAAGTAGATTTGAACCACCATCACTTCATTGTTGATTCTTAGGTTGAACACAGATTTGTCTGAACTTCCTTGTCATATCCATCGA